AACTATAAATCCCAACAACTACAACTCCCAAATATCAAGGCCTATTTTCCCCATACTCCACCAGTGTTCACATTTGGGCATATTGAGTATTCGTGCCAAGTTTAGTCCAGATCCATCATTGCATGAATCCACAGCACTCCTCTGGATATAGATGAACTACAACTCCCAAACTCAAGATCAATGCCCACCAAACCCTTCCAGTGTTTTCTGTTGGTCATGGGAGTTCTGTGTGCCAAGTTCAGTTTTAATCCATCGCTGATGAAGTTCAGAATGCTCTTTGATTATAGGCATGCTATGAATCCCAGCAACTACAACTCCCAAATTACAAAATCAATCCTCTCCCCAACCCCACTAGCGTTCACATTTGGGCATATTGGGTATTTGTGCTCAGTTTAGTCCAGTGAATGAAAATACATCCTGCATATCGGATATTTACATTATGATTTATGACAGTAGTAAAATGACATGTAAAACAATATTATGGTTGGGGGTCACCACAACATAGGGAACTGCATTAAGGGGTCACGGCATTAGCAAGGTTGAGAACCACTGAGCTAGAGCAACCTCCCTCAACCAGTAGGTAACCATTGGTCAACTTCAGCTAATAACACTTATCATTTTGGCTTTTCCTTTGGAACAAAAGCAGGTAAACAGTTCCTCATGGCCCAGATGCTTCTCCAGTAATTGATTTTTCCTTACTCTTCTTCTCCTTCTCCTTCTCCTTATTGTTGTTGTTGTTGTTGTTGTTGTTGTTTTCTGGCTGCAGGAAAGCTCCACAGACCCTGGTTATGGGACTGGCAGCGACCTCTACAGCTCTCCATTCAGCAGCAGGTAAGAGTCCTTGGAGAGAGCCTCATCTCCCTGTTAGCTCACCTTAACAACCACCAGATAGGTCTCTTGAATGAGAACATTTCTCATTGTGAATGCTCTCAAAATGTGTAATTAGTCCATCACTAATTAGCTAGTGATTCCCAGATGCAGAATGAGTTTTATCCGTGCAGCTCTGGGGCGGAGGGGGGCAATATCTAGTCATAATTTTCAATTATATTTATTATAAATTAATTTATCTCTGTGTGTGGGTGTAAGGGAGATAAGGGTCTCTTATACTGCATGTGACGGGGGGAACCTTTCTTTTCAATCCCCTCCTGTCAGACCCAAAGTGCTTCAACACGAGTGTTGTTGTTATAACGTGAGTGTGTAATGGTCACCACCTGCCACCACCCCAAATTACTGTTTGAGGAATTGTCTTGTTGTTGAACTTGAGGTAAAATGTCCCTATACACCGGTTCTTCCTTTTGGCTATCATTCTGGTGACTGAACTGTAGAGATGTGGAGGCTTACTGGATCTAACCTTGTATGGTCTCAGCGGTGGCCGGGAGAGCTTTTGCGCAATTAAAACTTGTGCACCAGTTGCGCCCGTACCTCGGGAAGTCTGATCTGGCCACGGTGGTCCACGCTCTTGTTACATCCCGAATAGACTACTGCAACGCGCTCTACGTGGGGTTGCCCTTGAAGACTGTTCGGAAACTTCAACTAGTCCAGCGAGCGGCAGCCAGACTGCTCACCGGAGCGACATACAGGGAGCATACCACCCCCCTGCTGTGCCAGCTCCACTGGCTGCCGATTCAGTTCCGAGCACAATTCAAGGTGCTGGTTTTGACCTACAAAACCCTGTACGGTTCCGGTCCAGTGTATCTGTCCGAACGTATCTCCCTCTACGTCCCACCCCGGAGTCTGAGATCATCTGAGGAGGCCCTGCTCTCGACCCCACCACTGTCACAAGTGAGGCTGGTGGGGACGAGGAGCAGGGCTTTCTCAGTGGTGGCCCCTCACCTGTGGAACTCACTCCCGGGGGAAATCAGGGCATCACCATCCCTCCTCGCCTTCAGGAGGAGGGTGAAGACGTGGTTATGGGACCAGGCCTTTGGGCACTCTGGCAATTAAATCAGACAATCAGGCGAGTATGTCCAACAGGATTGATGAAGTGGAACGTAAAACTAGATCTATGAGTTAGCGAACGCTGACCATGTAAGAGGAGAAATTGGGTTTGTATTGGTTTTTATTGATTTTATTGATTTTATGGTTATAATGCATGAATTGTTGTTAACTGTGAATTGATGTAATTTTGTGTATGATTGTTTTATGATGCAGGCATCGAATTGTGCCTTTGCTTTTGTAAGCCGCCCTGAGTCCCCTTCGGGGTGAGAAGGGCGGGGTAAAAGAACCCCAAAAATAAATAAATAAATAAATAAATATGATGAAACAAGGCTGAGGCAGATTAACAATAAACTAGAGAACAGGTTTATTGAAGTAATTGAAGCAAACAACTGACTACTAAGAGGTACATACGCGTAGTTTGTTTCTGAAGCAGACTTATTAAACAAATGGTTTCTTTAGAAGGAGTAACTTTTCTTTACCATGAGCTACTTTTCCTCACTCTACCCTGTAATGTGTAACAGTGTGATTCTTTGACCAGCCACCCCTGGCTGCCTTCCAGAGTATCTAGGTTTCCCCTGGACTACTCTGACCTTTAGGGAAATAAACTCACTTGTATTCTGTCCTAATACAAGTAAACAAGCTTTCACTTTGACTGCCCTAGTCAAGCTATACAGAAGCACTTGCTCTTTAATTATTCCCTAACAGGCTAATTCCTAGCTCACTAAGAAACTCTCTTCTCCCTGTCTGAAATCCTAATCCTTTCTCTGCTAGATCAACTCCTTCTCTCTCCCTTCTGTCAGAAATGACAGCCTATTTACACTCTCCTTCAACTCCTCCCCTTGGGGTCTGAACCAATCAGGAGTTAACTGACTCCTCCCCTTGCCTCTCTGCCTATACCATCATGTCCACCATCCTGAGCTGCCTTCCCAACATGGAGGCCAACTCACTGACTTCCAGGCTGCGGCCTACTGAAAAGGTATGAGTTCATTACAGTGGGCTATATGGTACTGAGGGTATGTGGAAAATTACCTGTGGTTCATAACATTAGGAATACAGACACCCTTCTTGGGGATTTTTTTTTATCTCGTATGTGACATGAATCAACCCCAGTTCTGAACTGCAATAGAGTTTACTTTGTGTTGTCGAAGGTTTTCATGGCCAGAATCACTGGGTTGCTGTGAGTTTTCTGGGCTGTATGGCTATGTTCCAGAAGCATTCTCTCCTGACATTTTGCCCACAACTTTGACAGGCGTCCTCGGAGCTTGTGAGGTCTGTTGGAAACTAAGCAAGTGAGTTTTATATATCTGTGGAATAATGTCCAGGGTGGGAGAAAGAACTCTTGTCTGCTTGAGGCAGGTGTGAATGTTGCAATTGGCCATCTTGATTAGCATTGAATAGCTTTGCAGCTTCAAAGCTTGGCTGCTTCCTGTCTGGAGGAATCCTTTGTTGGGTTGGGAGGTGTTAGCTGGCCCTGATTGTTTGAAGCTGCAAGGCCATTCAGTGCTAATGAAGGTGGCCAATTGTAACATTCACACTTGTCTCCAACAGACAAGAGTTCTTTCTTCTATCCTGAACATTATTCCACAGATATATATACCTCACTTGCCTAGTTTCCGACAGACTTCACAACCTCTGAGGATGCGGCCAAAACGTCAGGAGAGTATGCTTCTGGAACTTAGCCAGACAGCTCGGAAAACTCTCAGCAACCCCTATAGTGTTCTCAATTGATTTTTTAAATGAAGTGCTCCCACATCAAACCAGAGTTTACTTTGTCCGTCTCTAATCACTAAATATAATAGTTGTCTGCTGTTTTTGTCTTTCTTTTTAGAGAAGCGACAACAGACTCGGACAATGATTACGATGACGTGGACATGTAAGTGACGACATGGAGAGAGCCAGTCCTGTCTACGATGTGTCATAAACACACCCTTTGATTGCATAAAACACTGCCTAATCTCTTCAGTCTAATTATTTTTAACCTCCTGGGACTCTGCAGATTAGATTCTTTCAGTTCCATCATTGATGTGGGAAAATCCCATAATGTGAGTAGGTGTGGGTTCTGAGTAACCCATTTTCACTCAGTGGACTTCTAGTAGACTGTACTGGTGCATTCTTAGCAACCTAGGAGTGATATCACTTCGCTCCAGGTTCCTGTTTCGGTCAATTTTTGCCATGTTTGCTAGCTGTGGGGGAGACACACCATTTTAGGATGGTTTACTGTGTATATGGATGATTTGAGGGTGA